TCTGTTTGGAGGTGTCAGACTGTAGGACTGCCTTACAAACTGAAAGGAAGACTTAGAGGACTTGTGAATGTACATGTCCTCCTTTTACATGCCAAGAAGGATAGATGCAGTGAGGAGAGCAAGGCTACTGCAAAGAGCTTATCTTGCTATGGAAAGATGGAGAAAGGTGGGGTTTGCAAACAGGCCTGGGCCATATGGTTTCAAATGGGCTTTCAACAGAGTATTCAGGCAAGGTACCCATGCCAGGCTTCAGCCTGGCAAGGTGAAGTTGCAAAGCTCAAGGAGAACAAACATTATTCTTCTCACAGGGCATTAACCTGTTACAAACCACATCAGCCCACTGATATTTCATCCAGTCCCTAGCAAGATCAAATGTAAACCCCCCCCTCCAGATAAGGGAAAGGCTTGGTGGGATTCCACACCACATGCCTTGTTTCAGACTGAGAACAAAACATGGTCATGATGCCCATCATTGTTTCTCTCAGTTTGGTGATGACAAAATGTGCTGTTGTCACGTTACATACAGAATTAACTAGTTGACAATGACTGTGTTCAACCTTATGTCACCAATTAGTTTTCAGGAAAACAGGTTAATACAGAACTTCACAGTACGCAGCCTCTTTTTCCTGAGTGGTTGCCAATAATCAATTTACTCCATTGTCTATGATTAATTTGATTCTTAAGGTAAATGTCCAGGCAATATGCTTGTCATAGCACTCAGGTTGTTCAGAAACTATTAGTTGACATCCCAAATTAACTAGAAAATTGTTTGTATCTTGTTTTACTTTTTAGCAAATTAAACTTTCTCCCTCCAAACCCATTATTTATGTATGAGTAAGAGAAAACGGAAAATGTCTTGACATATGGAAATTATATAACAACGTAAAAAATATGAAGTCCTTATCCTGATCACCCCAACGTTTTGCTACTTGCTGGTGTTTATATAGATTACTAGCATCAATCTGCTTTGCACCTCTAATGAAACTAATAAGCCTGAAATGTCCCTGGATGGCATATTTTATCCAACTGGCTTGAGAAGAGTCAGACCCATGAAGTTCATCAAATGATTCAGGAAATGCAATGCAATAAATCAATTCTCCAACTAGCATTAAGGAAATAAGAAAATATTCTATATATTAAGGCTGAATTCAGAAATACAGCTGATAAGAGAAAGAAATCTAGAATACATTTCTTTATGTATCACATAATTCAGTTTGTAGCAGCTTTTTGTCTCACTAAAAAAATCAGACTTAAAGCAGAATCTTAAGGTGTCACCTTTAATAAATACCATTTTAATCTTTTTTGCAGTAGTGCCACAGATCCTGTTCTGATTATATATATGTACATAGTTTTTCTGGAGACACGTGGTTCATTCTGAAATACATGCGAACTCTGACTTTGTTTTAAACTAAATGAATCTACATCATATAACATAGTCTATCTAAAGGCAGGGATACAAGAGCCTAGACATTCTCTATATTGACAGAACTGCTTGTTTATATACTAGAAATATCTTTTTATGAGCAACTGTTGCCTTGGAAACCACTACTAAAAATGAAAATTTTGTCTCCATGGAAAAACCCCCGCACTATTCAGTTATCCCAAAATTTACCTTGTCTTTTCCTGATCAATCTGAAACACGAAAATTGGCAGTCAGACGTTCCTAACTTTTAATTCCTCTTTCCTATTCTAAAAATTATACTTGCTGTAAGTTTTGCAATTGCCGATAGCAAACAGAAGCCAATCTCTTATTTCCTACCAAGTCTCTTAACAAAAACATACTTACATCCTTTGTCTCAATAGGCTGGAGGACAAAAAAAAAACCAAACAAAAAACCCCAAGCCTTCAGAAGTCAGAAAGCCGTTTTCTGATATTTCAGTCTTTTCATGTACTGTTTTAAAGCATTCAACAGCTCTCTGACCAGGAGTGTCACAGTCAGAAATTCTCAGGAAACATAAGGATCTTAAATTGTGTTATTTTGGGGCATTTGTCAGGTTTTCCATCACTACTTCATTGAATATAGTCTCCTAACTAGTGTTTCAGTGTGAGCACAGAATGTAGTAATTTTTTAGGTGGTTTCCTTTCCAGATTTTACCCATCAGTGTTATTGCTTTTCTTAGACTGAGTCCTGATTTTTGCCCTGCATGTGGAAGGATGTGCCAATAGAAAGAATATAAGATCTATTCTAAACCAGTGAGTAAAAAGGAAGATACGTATATTGAATAACAGGAAGACAAAGCAAAAGATGCCAACCATCTGACTCGAGACTGTGCCTGCTCAGATGTGGTAAATTCACAAGGTATGAGGGCCTTTTGGCTTATTTTGGGGAGAATGCAACCTGTTTTGCCACAGTTTGTCTTTTACATCAATTTACATTTTTATGTCTGGGAATATATTCACACAATATTGACCACAGCATCACAGATATAAAATTTTACTTTTTGGCTTCCGTTTGGCTTAGGTTGTCTTGTAGCTCATTTCCAAAAAAACCATCCAATTGTACCATTTATTTCTGACACCAAGACTAAGACAAAAAGGGGAATAAAAAATAATCACAGTTTCCTCTGAGCACTAACAGACAGTGGTGTACTGGGAGATGTGAGCCTAAAAATACTACTATTCAATATGCAGACCTACTCTATGCATTTCTTGTAGCTACAGGTACTGGGCTGTTATCAAGAAAAGTCTCTGTGGAGAGGAAACACAAATTCTAAAAGCACCAGAACCTTTGTAAGAGCACTGAGGGTTTAACCTTCATATGGCAAAAGCACAGTATGGAACTAAATAGATACTATAAAAACCTCTAGTAATACATGTGGCTGGCTATTAGGAAGATGTTCATGATGAGGAAAGAGGTCAACGACATAACAATGATCAGTGAAAGCTGCAAGAGGACATGACATCCAGTGTGGGGTTCTATTTTTTTCTGTTACCATGAAAGACTGCTTAAAGGGCGAAAGTCTTCACTGAGTCCTCCACAGTCACTGTGGCCAAACATTTCCTTCTTCCTCCCTCTGCCCCGTTTTGGTCATAATTGTGCTGTGTCCTGTAAAAAGTGACAGGGCTATTCGACTCCCTACAGAGCATTCCTACAGAGAACACCTACTGGACCTGCTCAAGGGGAAGAAGACCCAGAGGCTGGACCATATGGCAGGTGAGAGCATCCCACAGAATACACGGCTATCACCAGATCATACAGAACGTCTGCAACATGGAATAGGGACTACAGCAGTCAGTCTACCCTCAGGAATGGGGGAAAGACATTTCCCAAGGACCCAAGGTGACAGAATACAATTGGGCAGACTCAGCTACAGCAACTGAAACAGTCTGGATGTGAAGACTCACTTGCAAGGACAGAGGGAACTGGAGTTGAAGGAATGAGTGACTTAAAATTATTTTAATTTCTATTATGCCTGACTCTGTTGCTTTGAATTTTTCCATTTACAAAGTTTCTAGTTCATATTGTAATGACACATAGCATTTTCACACCTGAGTTTCAAAGCCTTTTGATCATCTTTGTGTGAGGTCATGGTCGAAGCAGATTCACCTTAAAAGTCTGGCTGATACAGGGTCCTGCCACTGGCCATCAGCCTCTGTAATGTTTCCTCTTTATTTGCAGTATCCCGATGGACATGCTATAGATACCTGCGCAGCATGATTTTCTAGTACAGCATATGGCTGCAACCTTGGAGGACTGAAGCAATGGCTCTGAGGTATTCCACCTACAACAGCTGCCTCACAGACTCTCACGTTAACCAGCTAGGTGAACCGATAAGAAAGTAGTGAGCATTTCATCAAAGCCTGTCCTATGTTTCAAGAAAGTCCTTCAACACAGATACATTGCTATGAAATATTCATTTTTTTAACAACATAGGATTTCCTGATTAAATGTAGCTCTAGCTATGATGAAAGAGGCAGGCATTAGCTAACTCTGAAAAACTAATTGTTCAGTATTGGTACCCAGTAGAAACTTACAGGATAAATAATGGCTGAAAGCCTTAAATTATCATTTGGTTTTTTTCCTGAACCTAACTGGGAGAGACTGCTTGGCAATTTCCAGTGCATTCCACCAGCTGAGCTGATTAGCCCATGATCAGAGCTGAGCAATGTAACTTAACTTGCCTGTCACTGGGGGCATTTTCTGCCAGCTGAGCACTCTCACACAGACAATTAGCAAGGCTCAGCCAACATGTGATATCTTCTTAAGCTGCAGTAATGTTTATTTTTCCTTTCAAGCCTCATACTAAGAAGCAGTGTGAAGCAGAAGAGGTTTTGAGAACCAAATGAGGGAAATCTCCCCTATAAAGGAAAAAACTGATTACCCCCTGCCCCCCCCCCCCCCCACCGC